TATGTTTATCTGATTATCACTATATAATACAGATATATATCACAAAACAAAGTGACTATTTTTGCTACATGCACACACATGCACACATAAGTTTTTACTTATATATATAATATTTATCTTTAATTTTTGAGATACAGGCATTCATTATTGCTTTAAGCAGAAAAAATGCTGCCAAGTTGAGTTTTAAAAAGTAAATTCATACAGATATTTTGAGCCCGTCTTTTTATTGATTGTAAATTAATTGTTAACCTTCTTTGAATAAAATGGAAGTTATTAAAAAATTAATGCCAACTCTCTTTGTGTAAACACTTTAACCTCTATCTCTGGGCTAAAGGCAGACTTGGGCCATAGAGGTTAATGCATTTTCACTGTATCACTGAATTAGAGGGTATGCTTGAGTAGTCAAGATTTCTAGTAGTGTTTGAAAGAAGCAATTAAAGGTGGGTGCTTGATGATGTCAAACAAACTTTGAGCCCTCTGACAGGCTTCTGAGTAGTCTCTCTGAGATGCCAGCTCCTGGGGGCTTGTCTGCAGTCAAGCGCACAAGGAGAAAAGTAGATGATGGAATTTGCCTGCACATTAATCTCATTTTAAAGCAATTTATTAAGGGTAAAAGGACAGGGTGGAAAAGAGGAGAAGCACCCCTGACCAGAAAACACATTATTTAAAATTAAAGGAATAAAATTAAAGGAATAAAATGTGGTGATGATGGTAATACCAAGAGTGAATTTTAGCAACGATATTTAGGTTTTTGAGGAACCCCAAAATGAAAACGTTGTTCTTTTCCAGTAATATGACTGTCCTTAAAGGGAGAGACAAATGGGCTTTCCAGTAGTTCACTCACACAGTCAAGAGAGTTTCTGCAGGCTGTATTCCTTTGTGTCTCACTATTTTTTTTTCAGTACTTAATGCAAGGGAGAAAAATAACATGATGAATACTGTGTTCTCCTAGGCCAGCTAATTGGTAACTGAATCTTTATCTTTTGAGAAGTAGAATATTCCAGCACTCATTAAAACATACCTACCACAGCTAATGTCATCCTTGTATCTCCACACAATGACAAGGAGATGCAGTTAAGAAGCATTACCTACATACTTTTCTTTTAGCATTTGCAAGTAATAACAAGTGCTACATTTTAGTTCAACAGCTATAATAAAATGCAAATTCTTTTACTCTTTCACAGACCATATTCAAATGAACATCCCATTAAAATCCAACCTTGGCTCATTATATTTAGTTTGTGAGTGATGCTTCTTAAATGCAAAGATTTCTAATGACTATAATGTGTGCACAGCCACATTTGAAAGAATGGTTCTTTCTACAATGGCTATCCCCATCATCCCTCTGTGTAATGGAAGACAGTTGTACAGAGATAATATGGCAAAGAATGTCATGCCAGAGCAATTTGAAACTTAAGTTAACATACATAATGGCATTTAAAATCAATTAAGATAGTGAAATGGCAGTAACAGCCAGGCACTAATGATTTACCTGAGAATCAATCGAGAAAGCTTGAGTCATCAATACACTTACAGTTTGAACCCAGCAGATATAATATTCCATGAGCGACTATATTTCATCAACAATTAGACTCATGTTCATCACAGGATATTAATTCTGCATCTTCTGCCTTGTCTTACTTTGTTTGGTCATCAGTTTCTCTTCCCAGTGTGACTTTTCCTTTACCCCTAAATTGATGAGAATGAATGTTGTTTGCAGTGTAAGCCACAAGGCTTGATCACAGAGAAGTTTTGAGTTGCCTCTTTTATTGATCTTGGGACTTTATTCAAAATATAATCAAAGAATCTTCTGCTTTTTGCATTTGTAAAAGAGAACTCTTGATTACATTATCAACTTTTTCTGAAGGTCTTTTGCCGCTCTTTTGTGAATAACAAAACCATTTAAAGTGATCAATGAAATGACAAATTTTAATTTTGATCAAAAAAAGAGTTATGAATTAGGATATTTTATGGTCCCTTTCAGCTGGAAATTGCAGTCACTCCATAGCCATTTTTTTTTTGTTTGTTTCAAATGATACTTTATTCATTGTTCCACTACTACGATTTACATATAAGTGAATACTGAAGTTTTTAAATAAAGAAATTTACCTTAAAAACATTTCTTTTTCTGGCCGGACATGGTGATTCACACCTGTAATCCCAGCACTTTGGGATGCTGAGGCAGCCGGATGACCTGAGGTCAGGAATTCGAGACCAGCTTAACCAACATGGAGAAACCCTGTCTCTACTAAAAATACAGTGTTAGCCGGGCATAGTGGCACAGGCCTATAATCCCAGCTACCTGGGAGGCTGAGGCAGGAGAATTGCTTGAACATAGGAGGCAGAGGTTGAAGTGAGCTGAGATCGTGCCATTGCACTCCAGCCTGGCCAACAAGAGCAAAATTCCGTCTTGGAAAAAAAAAAAAAATTCTTTTTCTTTTTCATTTTTTTCCATGTCTTTCAAAAGAAAGAAAGTGTGATCCCTTATTGTCTTATTGCTTATATACTTGGGTACATTTTATTCATTGAAACATAGTTTATTTGAGACAGAAGAGTTTTGCATTACTGCTGCTTTGGAATTTTATAAGATTCTGAATGAGTTCTGTTCTGAATCGTTCCTAAACAACGTAGATGCAGCAGAGCCCCACCATAAAACGGAATTAGGAGGTAAGAGTATTACCATGGAGGAAGAAAAGAGAGGGGCAAATAGTTCATCAGAAAAATTAACATTGAGGTCCATAAATACATTTTAAAAGCCCTTTGGATCAATGTTATGAATAACATTATATGAGTTTATTTCAGTATTTTATGTATACATATGATGGACTCTAATGCATAATTCAGACAGCAGAATGATACATCTAATTTGAAGAATTTAAACATTGCCTGGTTGTCATTGAGTAATTATTCTACAGATTGATCGAAACCATTCTGTCCCTTCTCTGCACACTAGATTTCTGATACTGGCACTTACACTTGTGTGGCTACAAGTTCAAGTGGAGAGACTTCCTGGAGTGCAGTGCTGGACGTGACAGGTGAGGACTTTGTGAATTGGGAGAAAGCTTGAGCCCTTTTAGGGATAGCTCAGTATCAAATAATAAGTTAAGGGGAGATCAAAGGGTTTAATTCACTGAATGTAAATTTAAGTCTTTACATTCAATGCCGTTTTTTAATTCATGCATGAGTTTGCACATACCATTGCATTTGTGGAATTTAACACACTTGTCCTTGATAACCTTGTTGTTTTATTTCCTCTGAAGTGTAAGGAATTCTAATGATCATGTGTAAAAGTACAGCTAACTGTTATTAACATGTAGGAGAAGCAAATATTCACTTACATACTTCCGATTCATGGAGATGAATTTCTCACTGTCTACATCAAGTCCTTTAGTAGACTGTTTCCTGCTTTTAGGCAGTTTTGTCAACTTATGCAATCAGGAATGAAGTTTTTTCTGTCTGTCCTCTATAGAATCTGGAGCAACAATCAGTAAAAATTATGATTTAAATGACCTGCCAGGGCCACCATCCAAACCGCAGGTCACTGACGTTACTAAGAACAGTGTCACCTTGTCCTGGCAACCAGGTACCCCTGGAACCCTTCCAGCAAGTGCATATATCATTGAGGCTTTCAGGTATGGGACAATTCCTTTTTTCTCCGTTGGGCTTTTGCTTTAGCTCCTGTATTCTAAACTGTCACCTGAACTATCCTGCTGTTTTATTAAAGACATGTCCAGTCAATGCATTTTAAGAACTGATCTCTCTGAATTTATTTAAGAACAGAGTTTTTTTTTAGTTTACAACTTAATTATAAGATTTAAATATGCATTATTCATGCCTAGGTCTACAGGGATCCAGTTCATAACATAATCACTTAGCTCCTTTCTTTAGCCAGACCATTGTAGGGATTTGAGGTGAGAATTTAAGCATCAGAAATGGGTAGAAAATAATATAATCAGGCATAGGCACAGGCACTTTTTAAAGTTATGCGATATTTATTGAAGCAGGGGACTCTGGCATTTTTATTCCTCATGACTAGAGCAGAACTTAAAATAATCCCGTGTTTTTATACCATATATTACATACATGTATTAGATATGCCTGAGAGAAAATTAAAAACAATAATTAAGAAATTTATTCCATGTGCTTCGTGTTGCTTAATGGAAAAGATGTTTCCATGTGTTATCTGAAATAATTGTTGCCAATTTAAAGATTTAAATGTAAATTAGCAAATATCATTATAAAATTGTCTTATGAGAATTTGATAAAATGCTTACACAAATGGTAAAATGTGCTTTCATATTACCTTTCAAATGTGCGTCTATGTGACAT